CTTTATTTCTCGGCATAATGTTTTCCTTGGCCTTCTTCTTTTCCTTTGACCTTGAGGGTTACAAGTGAGGGCTTGTCTTGTGACACAGTTGGGTGCTTCTCGTAATATGTTCTATCCTCTTCCAGCATTCTTCTTGATTTCTTCCGCAGCTGGAATCTTGGTCATTTTCTCTCACAGTAGGTTGTTGCTGATGCTGTCTGGCCGACAGATGTGAAGTATTTTGCGAAGAAAACTGTTAATAAACACTTGTATTTTCTGGATGACGGCTTTCGTAGTTCTCCAAGTTTCCGTCCCATACAGTAGAACTGTCTTAACAATGGTATTGAGAGAATGGTGGTGCCTCTATAGTTCTCACACTTGCTGAGATTACCTTTCTTTGTTATTCTGATGAGGTATGCTTGTTTCCAGTCTGTTTGGAAGTCCAACAACACCAAACATCTCAAGCATATTCTCAGCCTCATTGTTCAGTATAAACATGTGGAAAGATATGACTGGTATCAAGATTTTTGAAATGCTGCTCCTTTAAAGCGGACTAGTCTACATTCATTATAAAACAAGTTCTCAATTGGACTATTAGAAAAACTAGTTTGATTGGTCGATGGATCAAGGAGACAACGGTACATGGAAATTAGATTTTACAACCTTACGATTTAACTGCCATAGACAGCACATCACTCGTGGAGTTAAAAGTAATTAAAAATTTTGTAGATAATGGGTTAAATATGGTTGTTTAGATAACCAGTCTAGGTTGAACGAATAATCGCCTTCTTCCTATTGAAGGCAGAGGGATTTAGCATTACATGAAATGCTTTGGCTACTCGCCCCTCTTTATAGTTGGAAAAACTTCTGAATTATTTTGATAACACTTTAAAGTTTCATACAGAATCACCCTAACTCAAAGTAGTATGACAGTGACATGTCCAGACCTATCATGATTTTGATAGTACTAAAAACATTCTGCTTTGTTTCCTCTTTACTATTTAAACTTAGTTTATCTCGGTTATTTATGTATTTACTCTGAAGAAAAGACTTGCATCAAGTCGTGAAACGTCAAAAACTCAAATTTCTACTGATTGGGATATCACCGAAGATTATAATCATTACATGACATTTAGTTATTACGGCGAGCACTACACCCTTTACTTAAGGGGACGGGATTCAATGGTTGTTATTTCGAAATTTTAGGACCTTAGTTAACACTTTGGAATTGATAGAAAAACGAACAATATAAGTACCTGTATGAAATGATTTTAACGTAGATCATTTTGTGATTTCCATCAGCGAAATGAGAACTAATGAAGTTGTATGATATAAATACTTTACAAATGATAAACAAATCAAAATATGAAAAATTCAGTACAGTGTATATTTTTTGATGAATTAGATATTTCATTTAGAAAGATGACTATTCAATAGTGGCTAATGATTTTTCAAACTGTGTATTTGGACAAAGCGTTTCATCATTAGTGGCCAAGAGAATACAATAGTGATCGAACAATTGCATTGTCACTTCAAGGTCATCCAACAGTTCCAAATGTTCTATTCTGAAACAAAAATGTAAGCAATAAAGAGCTCATTTAAAGCCATACTTTATCAATTTATGTCCAAATAGGTAAAGTGAGATATTAGCAGTTAGTCAAGGTTAAACTATTAGCTTACAGCCCTTTGAATAATTTGTGAGGTAGAAGCAGGTTTGTCTGGCAATTTTTTATCATGAGGCTAAGCAGTAAGCTTCAAGCTCTTTCAAAGACTCAATACATTTTGACTAATTAACATATTGAAATACTGTATGGATGAGATGTAAGTGTATTAGTTATGTTATGTTATTTTTTAAACACAAATCGTTCCGATAACGCACCAGTTAAATAGAATATTAACAAAGCTAACATAAAGAACTCCACATCGTCATCTTACTCATGGGATAATATTCACATCTATGCTTACTTGATACCTTGAGACGGTATTTATCAGTAGCTTTTGAAGGATGACTACTTACCATTTGAATTAATTTACTTTCAGATAGAAGTTTGGAAAAGTAAATATGCATAAAGCATTATGATTTTTAATTCTTGATATACTAAGTGCGAAGTCTCGTTTAATTCAGGTAAACTCAGATTATATTAAGCTTTCTACTCAAACTACACTTATTCATGATTTTAAATACGTCATATGAAAAGTTGAGATTTTAATGTTACTAGTCCTCAAATAAATATCGAAAATGAAGCACGAAACTAAAGGTTGGCAATGAGTGATAATCAACGATAGATTATATTCTAATAAGCATTGCGAAGTTGACAAACGATTTAGTTTGATCTTACCTATATCGAGTACTGGAAGGTAACGTCTTATAAACTTCATTTATGGTCCATCCTTTGGCTTTTTTCCAGCCAGCCTTATAAAACCTGCAAAACGGAATCAAAAACGATGATAAATATGTAGACTTTTTTAGTCAATTTTTTTTGAAAAGTTGTATGGTAATTGAAACAGCGAATTGAAAAGATTCTGATGGTAAAAATAAATTATTGTTTAGAAAAAAGTCAAATCATTGTTTAATGAAAAACTGTGATCAACCTAAAGTAACATTGGAGGTATATTTGTTGCATTATTATTAAAAATACTATCACACTACATCTGGTGGGTATGCAATAAAAGTATTAGTTGCAACGCTGAAACCCACAGAGAAGTTGTCACTAAGTAACATTCACATCAGAAACTGTTAGTATGTTTATAGTAGGTAAACAAATTTAAAGGACTCCTATGACGGGTTTTTTGAGTGAGTTGAAAGAAATACTAGTTTTAGCAAATAAATAGCTACTTTTTATGACTGAGTCAAATATTTTTATCATTACTTCCAATCGACTAGCACTACAAGATTACCTGATTTATACAAACAGTAACTTTTCTGACCTAATTGGCCTAAAAAGTAAAGTGAATCCTGAACTGTATTACTTCAACTTACAACAGAATAAAACATTAATATTTGGCGCAACCTGAACTAGTAAATACAGGTTTCACTGTTAAGATTATATACATAGACATATATAGAAACTAAAAGAGGATTCCTACCGTTCTTCTTGAGTAGCTAGTGACTGACACGCATCAAGACCAGGAAGCTCACAGGAACGAGCACGAAAATTTTTGATCATGATAGAACCAAATGAATCATTTATATTAACCTGGATAGTAGATAATAAAAGAGACGAATACAACAAAATATTCCTTTTTATTATATTACTTCACACGTGCTTTCTGTCCACATTTTGTAGATGGATACTCTTAATGAAAGCTGTTTGATTTCCAGTTATGTTTAACTTTCATCGACTTTGCATCTAGGTTTAACCTAGTTGAAATGTATGAATACAAACAGAAAATATACTAATGAAGACAATGGAACTTATGGACCTATGACAATACACATACGCATGAAAATAAGTGTGATGATGACAAGTTGAGTTTAGCAAAGTGCCTCATTTCCTTCAACTAAACAATGGAATGCCGAAGAACTTAAGCTGAAATGGTCAAAGAACATTTAGTGACAGATTCAAGGTGTATGAATATATTACCATGCTCAAGAGAAGCTATCTAGAAAGTTTCTAGGTGTCTCAAAACATCTGGCAAGTAATTTGAGGTTAAAAACGAAATGGCTGAGTTAAAACTCATATCTACGAAATAGTTTGTAAGTGATGAGCAAAACAGTAGAAGCTTGTCATTCCAATTGAGTAATGTCTAAAAGGATAGTGTGAGATAATTAGATTAATTAAACCATTATTATTAAGTCAGAAAGTTGCCGATTTTCATTCGATTGATTTTTAACTAGATTTCAATCATTGTCACACACAAAGATGAGGAAATTCATAAACTTATGATGCGGAGGTTTCATATCTGCAGACAACCTCTCTCCATGATCAACTTAGATTTATTTCACTTCAAAAAATTCAAAAGTCTTCTGGAATTGCTTTACTGAACCGTGGTATTTGCTTGACTACACACTACCAGAATGTAACCAAGTGTGTTATTCAGTACATCAGTTTCATTTGTTTGTTATTTTTGTCTTCGCATCAGTAGATTATTTTTCTGCAATATGTTATTGGTCAGTAAGTTGTCAGCCGATGAATTTAGGACTACTATTAGACAAAGAGAAGCAGTATAAACGTAAGTATACTAAGATAAACTGTAAATCCAGCTGAAGTCTGTTTGAATCTAGATTTTAATATGAAACAGATTTCCCTTAGACGTTTTTATCGTCTATGTTGCGTCAGGTCCTATTTCGTTCTTATGCAATTTGTCGAATAGAGAAGCTGAACTGTAGCTTCTGGAGGGGAAACTCGATAGCGTGTACAGCGGATATTCAGTAATGGTACCAGCAACGAAGGAAGAAGTTACATCACTCGTTAACAGTCAACCTGGGAGCGTACTTCATTTATTCACTATACGTTAATGATAGACGTATTACAAAGTTTATGTTTATCATAGTGTCAATATGAGACAAGGAAAATAATGGACTTAATGTAAATTATCTTGACCTTTTAAGACGTTTTTAATGATTTCTTATAATCCTGAAATATTTACAGTTGCATTATAAAATAAGGTGAAGAATTCTAAAGATAGGAAAACGAATGTGTGCAGCAGCAGCTTTGTCGTCCATGTTGTGGACCAGCTTTTTAAACGTATAGCTTTCAGTCACTAATTTTCAAACTTAAACCCGATTTCTCCTATACTGATTTGGTAAACCGAATAGCAACTTCGGCCTTTAATTACAGAAAGTGGAGTCGCACTGATATGATAGCTGTCACACATTTAGTAAGATGTTTTTGGCTATACTACGAAGTTTGGATAACTGAGTTAGCTGTGAATGAGAGATGAAAATGAACACAAATTTGTGCCTGTTATATCTACAAACGAACAAGAGATCAGTGAGTTACAACGTAGAACTTCGTACGTACATACATCAGTTTCAGTTGCCATAACACATTAACACAGAGAAGCAATCATCAATTCAAGCCCCATAGTAGTGGAGGAAGCAGAAGTATACATTAATGATCGAAAATATCATTCGAGATGTGTACTCCAGAGTAATCAGTTAAAAAGAAAAACGACCATGAAGGATTCAGAAGATTAGGATTTAAGACAACACTAAGAATGGATGCACCTGCACCATTGCAAACGGTTTTGAGCCATGTCGTTCAAGATCTCTAACCATAGAATACTATCATCTCGCGGACGAAAAGCAGGTAGTCTACACCTACCGACATGACTCAGTCCAGTTGTCAGTGACCTCATGGATTTGTGTCATGTTTTGGTTTGGCCACCCCTAGCTCTCTTCCAACCTACGCCTACACCACAAAACATAGCTCAACAAGGCAGTGGTGGTTAGGCATACGCAACACATGTCCCAACCACCTAAACTGAAGTTTCAATACTTCATCTACTAATCTGCGATTCTTACCTAGTACCCGTTTCTTAACAACTGCATTGCTTACTCGATAGTCCCAAGATGAACGAGCAATGTTTCGGAGACGCCTATGATTGAAAACCAGTAACCTAAAATATCTTCTACTCTGACTGGCCATGTTTCACAGCCATAAAGTAGGACGAAGCAAACTGCTGGAAAGTACACTCGTCTTTTGGTTGGCAGACGCATTTCTCGCCTACGCCATAAGGTACGCAGGTTGGCAAAAGCCAACCGAACCGTCTGTATCCGTGCTGAGATTTTGTCAGTCACCAGCACTGATGAGAATCCCCAGATATGTGAGTCTCCAACCCTCCTCCTTTATCCGAGCTTGGGACTGGCAGCAGCACCAGGGGGCTCCAAGATATACGGTAACACCTATCCTATTATAGTTCTATAAATGTGATAAATAACACTCGTGACAAAGGGACACAAATATAACAGTGCGTAATGGTGGTTAATGAAAATAATGACAGATTTTGGGTATTCTCCAAAATTCAATGATGCATTACAATTGATTATCAGACCAAGAGATTATATCACTACTGATTTGGACAATACGATAACATTACAGCAAGCTTTGTTTCACATATCGCGAAATCATACATACGTTAAGAATTAGTCATTAACTGTGAAAATGAGTAAAAACTTGTACCTGCCTGTTCATAATGTAGGAATGAAGCATGGGGAAAGTTCATCGAAAGACCATTTAATAACTGAAAGCTTGTCTCTGGAGACATATAGACAAGTACGCATTCAGCAAGGAAGAGAGTTGGACAGATTTTAGAACAACCAGGTCCACTAACTGAGGAACAAAGGACATCTAGAAAATCTTGGACAGGTCTTCGTAGGTCAAAACTGAGTAAGTGAAACCGTCCTGTTTCGAAAACGTAGTGCAAATTATCGTTTGATGTGTCGACAGCAGAAATATTTTGATTTATTGTAGGCGTTAAATTATCGCCTTGAGGTGGAAAGGCTCCTGAGTTAAAAAAATATGGTTTTTCGGTCAGTTATACAATATACATATTAAAGTATATGGTATGATGCGAAAGTAAAACGTTGTCATTTAATATTATCGGAACATATTAGAAATCGATACTAAGTTTAGTATATGGTGTCGTCACCTTTAAAGTTTGTAGGAGGGAATTACGCTAATATGTTTACCAGAAACAAGAAGCAGTGATGTGATAAAATACCAAAGGATTAAATATGACTGTTTGGTAACTTCTAGATGAAACAACCGAACCTGGAATGTTGATGGAGTGACTTACTAATCGATTTATTTAAATATTAGTTGTGGGTATTCGAAAAACATCGACTGTAAATATCAATAGTCAATGTATACTACTAAGTAAAATTAAATGCCAACTCTTTGGGGTCCATTAGTCACTCAAAATCAGTGCCCAGATGCTTCCGGTGGCAGAACTTAGAACCAGCAACACAAATATAGATTCAGTTACTGACTTGAAACCATTTATCCTATTTTCACATTGTTTACCTGACTTTACCAGACCTTGGATATGGCTGATATCCCAACTTATAATCAACTGAATCTTTCCACTTGAAATATCTTCGTTATGAGGAAATAACTTGAGTTTAGCTAAAATTGGATTGACGTTAGACACTTCATTGTCGATTTCTTTTATTTCGATTTTTAATATTATTTTTAACTTTTTATATGAATTTACACGGTATCGTTTACAAGTATTCAACAATTTCGGATTCCTCATAACTAGATAGTTTAAAAACGAGATATTTGCAGTCGTTTTATTAGCCGCTTACACAAGCAGGCAGTAATGATAACTTTAAAATAATACACTTAGCAAAATGAAATCTATACAGAAGTTAATTTCGTCTGGAGCCCTACTGGGTTACTGCCGGTTTGTGAATAATTATTTCACCTCATATACATGAATAGCAGAAAAATTTGTCAGCATTACTTGTTGCGTCGAGTAATTTTCTTCTTTGTATTGTTATAGCTTTGTGTTGAATATTTGATGCTAAATCCACTTCAATGTATAATTCTGGGGTTTCTTGAGCATCTTTTAGAGCGAAGTAGAGTGTATCTGAGCCTGCACCAAGATTTATAATCTGACAGGCTCCACCTGTGGACTGAATCAGATAAATTGTACTACTCAAGAGCAAAGAACCTTGATAAATGATTTGGCAATCGCTCTGAATGCAGTTGTTCTTATAAAATAGCCACGATTAATCTCCGGAGTTTTGTGTAAAGGAGAGGAACAGAAATATCTGATATATTTGTCTTTCCAGTAGCCTCGAGAAACGGCATAAGCTTTACTGGATGTAGCATCATCATTAGTTAGTTGTATGATTTCATTTGAAGGGCTATTCATCAGTAACGCTAACTTTATATAATCTGCGCTACAATTAAATACAATATCCAATATCACTATCACGAGCTGGTATAAACTAATTGATTTCTTTGCTCTCGGTTCTTGTTCTTTCGGAGCTTCATCCAATTTGCTTTCCTGTCTGAAAATAGTGGATCAATGGTCCTTCCACTTGATAGCGAAAGTATATCAACATAAATAAGAAACAAGTCAAATGTCTTTGAAAACCATTTTGAATTCATGCGAATGTTGAAGAACTTCTACGAAAAGCCAAAAATTTCTAGGGCCTGAATGCTCTTAGGTAATAGAAACTGTTAATTAGAATCAAATCCTATGTTTCGCTTAGGGATTAAGCTTGATATGCTTTCATGGATATTTACATGTGTAGGGGTTTCTAATTATCACACAATCATGTAAGTGTCGTTAACTTTTGGATAAGCTTCAGGGATTCAGACAGCATGTAACTAGTGGGCCACTTCATGTTTCCTAATAATCCCGTTCTTTTCACAGGAAACTGTTAACATCTGTTAACATCCCTCAGAATAATGTCCTCGTATTTGTATGTTATTACGTCCCATGTCTACTTGCGTGATAGTCTACACATTCGTTACTTTATCGAATTCCTGCTCCTTTACATTATTTTTTGTCGATTTTGAATCATACCAATTCTTGTAATGAGTAATATTTCGAGTAAACACATCTGCCTTTTGCGGTCAGCAGACAAATCCGTATATTGAACTAGATTTACCAGTTATTCATCAATACGAATTTAGTTCTTGAGAATATGTCTGAATGTAAGCGGAAAAAGTGTGTAGTGGTAAATAAATCCCCAAATAAAATATTTCTGTGAGTCTTGAAGTTTGTGTTGACTTCATTGGCCTTACTAGACACGGCGTAGCTGACGGTACTTGGCCACGCATTTGCACCAGACCACTTTTGAGTACACCATTCAGCTCATCTCCTCGCATTAACTTGGGAAGCTACTTCACTCACCTCTCTACATTTCAGCCATTGACATACCTTCGAAAGCCTTTATTCCTGACGTTTGGCTTGACTTGACTTTGACTATCCATAATTTGGATGGTTTCACGGACAAGGGCACTGTCCACTTCTGACTATCCGTCACCTCCTCAAATGTCTCGGTAACACCGCCATCGGACTACGTTAGATTCCGAAATAAGCCAACTTAATTATTCGGTTGACTAACTTGCAGCATTGTTTATCAACTGGTGATCTTGTTTTTAGAATGGAAGATACCATTTTCAGTTTGTTTCACATGGATCAAAGATTTCTAAACATGTAATGCTTTCTTTTAAGAACGTCTGAGATAATGAAAGGAAAAAATTATAATCTATTCATTAGATACTGTTGTAACGGATCCTACACATATTTCCATAAATACTGACAATAGCTACAACATTTACAGATAACAGTAAATCGCTGTAACCACATCCAATTTTGTGTCATGGAAGTACCCTTTTTACTACCGAACTAGGAATTTTAAACTTTCTTTTCCTTTTCCGTTCTCCTTCATGATCCTAGTCGATCACCAGGATGCTAAACCGGACGAAAAACTCAGATTGATATCTTCCCCTGAATAATAGTAACAGAAAATCCCAAGTAACTTACAGTTTACGGAATGTGGATCCAAGCCTATAAGCAAAAACATTCATAGTAAGGCACACTAAGATTTACTAATAGATTTCATCAAATCCGAATTCGACACTATATGTAACGGAAAGAATATCCTGAAAACCCCTCCACAGTGCGTTTTTGGACCATGTTGTTATTTCATTGGTCTTTGACCATGTTTGTTTTTAACTTAGGACTGCATCTAACTGCTAGGAGCAGTTGACTGAATCTTTGTGGGTAGGTAGTTGGCCCTATCTTCTTGAGAAAACTGTTGTTGATTTTCTGGTACCAAACAACTTATTATTTACCAATCCCTTTGCTGTTTAGCATGTAATTTCGCGCGAAAGAAACCAGTGACTGTAGAGTACAGGCTGTACCATTTGATTCGTTTTGTAGTTTCGAAATAGTTTTTTTTCCTTCCTACACTGGAGTAATTTAAATTGAGCACAGAATTTGCTTTGTGATATAACTTTATATAAGTAAGTCTAAAGGTTTTACGTCATACAAAGGAGGATGGTTTGGCCTAAACGAATAGGTTCCGGTTCGTTAGCTCCACATTCAGGCCAAATGTTGATAATAATTCTCAGCTAATATCCGAGTTTACTTTGGCCCTAGATCTATAAAGCTGCCAACCTGAAGGGAGCCAGGTACTGTCGACGGTATTTAGAGATACATATTGAAGCCTCTCACTATGAATAGAGCAGAAAACAAATCGTGAAAGCCATCGGATAGGCCTCTTTCTGGAGGGCACTTTTGCTTCCACTGAGGAGATAAATTTGCCAATTCAAAAGATACACAATATGTGTGAATGAAGAAACCTTGTTACCACTATCATTCTTGAAGCAGCAAATGCAATGGACATTTACAAGTCGATCCAAAGTAAGTGTATTAACACAAGTTGTACACCCTAATAAATTATGAAAACCATTCGGGACAAATGGAAATCGAACCGACTGCTTCTATGCATAAATTATAGTTTGAACGAGCCCATGGGCTCTCAGTGAAATCATGGAAGAAATAACATCATCAGTGATTGAAGAACACCAGGACGATGCTACTTACTATGCAATTTAAGTGAAACAACATATTCAAGAGGAAAATGTCCTCAGGCTGTTAATAGTCAAGATAAGACAATTGAGATAAACTTGACTATAAAAATAATATTTATTTACTCTCAAATAACATCATGTTACAAAAGGCATGCCACTTTACAAACAAGATCAAAATATTTAAATTGCTTAGATATTTTCAGTAAAAGGTTGACCATTTAAGTGATTTTTTCATAAGACAGGAACTACTTATAGATGCCTAAATTTTTTCTCATTAATTAAAGATAATGTTTCATACTCTGGAATATACGATACGATAATTGGAGCGAGTTTCGATGGTTGCATTGAGACGAACCACTGCTAGTTTAGGATCAATGCAAAGTAAATCCATGTCTGCATATAACAAGCATTGATAAGATAAATTTGAAACGATCTTCTGGTTGAGATTCGTCAGATGATACATTTACATGCTCCCAGGTGAGTTAATTAAGTCTTCGGCCGTTATCCGGGCTAATATTTAAGGAGTATGATTAAATTTAGCCTTAGTAACGAGCTGTGTCATCAAGACATTACTAGAAACGGTGGTGAACCGCAATGCCAGCCGAATCAAAATTTTTTCGGGATAGAGCCACTTGTGGTACCTCTTGCGCGACATATAGCTCAAGCCATTTCATACCACATACAGAACATAAAAACACTCTCCTCGCACAATCTCAAACAGACAACATTCTCCCCCTTCCCCCCGGGCTAACAACCCCTCCTGTAAATTTCAGTAATTTACTTAACATGTCCCCCCCTAACTCCTCATACCACACTCACGTAGGTCATAGTAACTCCTTTACTCAAGATACCCTAAACTATTTTAGCTTAGCGGGACATCTGTTTAATATATGTCTTATTAATGCTCGTTCAATCTGTAATAAAAAGACAGATCTAGTCATGTTTGCTACTATCTGCCAACCATCACTTATTATGATAACTGAGGCATGGACCTGTAGTAATATTTCTGATCTTACTATATCTCTTGACAACTATGATCTGTTTCGAAGTGATAGGTTACAAGGAAGAGGTGGAGGATGCCTTATATATGCCCACTCTAGCCTAAACTCGCTCTTATGTGATATATCTGAACTAAATAGATTGCCAGACTCTGTGTGGATCGTTCTGAAACCGTCAAATGCCGTTTCCTTACTGTTCGGCTGTGTCTACCGACAGCCTAATGTACCAACAGGAGATCTAGCATTATTGTGAGAAGTATTCACATTTGTTTCATCCCTACCGTTCACAAGCAAGGCTATTTGTGAGGACTTCAACATGCCTGAAATCATTTGGTTCCCAATCAAAGCACCTAAACGATTCGAATCATTTATTGAATGCTTAGAGCTTGGAGGGTGGACTCAACATGTTAATGGCCCAACCAGAAATCGAAATACATTGGATTTGGTTTTCACCAGCAATCTGATTCCTCACACTGTATATGTTGGAACAAAGTTCCCAGGTAGCGATCATAATATGGTCATATGCAGCCTTGATATAGGAGCTACAACTATAAAGTATAAATCCACTACACTTCGTAGGGACTTTCGTAGGATTGATTGGTCAAACTTCAGTAACTGCCTCAGAAGCATTGACTGGACAAACTACTTTACTGCACACAATACTGATGAACTAATAATTGTATTTTATCACAACACAAATAGCATATTCAACAAATTTGCACCTTTAGAATCCTGGAGACCCAGAATTCCTAAGGACTTATTTATGCCAGGTCATATACGAAAACGTCTTCGAAGACATGCTTCCAGATTTCATAACTGTAATGACTTCTCCTCATTAGTAACGATGACTGAAATATGTGTCGAGGCAGAAATAACACGAACTAAAAAGGCAATCGCACAGGAAAAGAGTGCTGTTCAGCTGAACAATCAATCCTCTGAACTCATAAAACTCCTTCGGAATAAACTCAAATGCTCCAAAGTTAAAGGAGGGAGCATATTTATTAAGGACAATCAAGTGTATGACGACCCTAAAAGTATCGCAGAGTTGTTTAGCGAACATTTTTGTGCCACATTAACAAACGAAAACTCAATAAATGAGTCACACCTGACCCAAACTCCTTCCTGTGAAATCGCCAGTGTTGAATTTAGTGTACAGAACATTTCTAAGGCGATTACTACACTGAAGCACTCATACATTGAAGGACCAGATGGCATCCCTGCCAGCATGCTAAAAAATGGTAGCAATGATCTGAGTGCTATTCTTCTCAAACTATTTACTATATCTCTCTCCACAGAGTGTTACCCTAATAACTGGAAGACTACACATATCATCTCCACAATAAAATCTGGGC